ACGTAACGTAATTACGTTTCGCATTGTGAGAGTCGCGACGCTTCGAGGGTCCGTGAGCAAGCCGAACGGGAAACTTGAGACGCCGCGCCGCGTCGAATCAATGACTCCGACGTCGGACGTGCAATTTTACTTCCACCCGGATCGAAAGTCCTTCTGTATAATTACGCGTCTTTGGCTTCTCGTCCGCTAGCTTGCCTGCGGGCGTATCTGCAAAGTTCTTCAATAGCCAAAGCGAAAAAAACATCGTATACACTCGACGTATTAATGGATCGCCCGCGGGCTGTCGCCTTTTGATGCAGGCTTAAAGGAAATGCCGGATAATCGACGCTTCCTTTCTTTCTCGAGACAGCACACGTAAACTCTTTTGTAAGGGATACGTCGCGCCACACCGCGCCGGGAGGATACGGAACTGGCGTAGCCTGGAGGAAGAGAGAGATCTTACGTAATACCTCCGCGGGACCATCGTTGTCGTGCTCCCACGGGAATATTTCATGCTTGTTACGGGAAATAATTAGTGACGGCAGGCAGCCGAGCAATGTACCGTCCTACGTCGCCGTTACGAAACAAATTTGCTAGCGTTGCGAGCGTACCAACGCGACGCGACACGAAGCAACGCTTTACCACATGTCGAAAGCACCGTTCGAAGCGAATCTCCTTTGGTGAGAGGATGTTACACGTAAAATGTTCACGTTGCCGGAATAGCCTACCTTTACAATTAACCGAATTGCGTCTCCAATTGGCGACCGTACGATTACATTTGAACTGTAATGCTTAGATCGATCGAAACTGCATATACTATGTACATACATACATACGTATACTATATGCATATAGGAACCTATAGGAAGGTACGAAAAGAAGGTACGATTAGACGTCGACCGAGGGAACGCGATAAAGTAATTCTCATTTCGAGCAAAAACGAATCTCTTTCCCAAAGCTGTCTCGAACGTCGCAGTTCAAGATTTACGGTACCTACCCCGGATTTTTCTCGGCGGACGAAATTCAAAAAGTTCGGCGTCGGCGGCACGAGCGCGGGATCGAATCGTCTGGATAGATTTATTTCACCAACAGGTGGATTAAATCGCACTAAATCTTCGAGTGGCTGCTGGCTGGAATTAGGTCGCGGAACAAATTACGGGACTGCATTAGTTGTAATTCTCGGTCTCCTCTTTTCCTTCTCGCTTGAACCAGTGGGTGAAAGTTAAATATTACATTATCGTTATTTTTATTATTCGAATTGAACGAGCGAGCGTCGGATCACGAATTCGCTTAATTACCGGCGTTATTTGTACACGTCTAATTAAATTTTATAATTATCGTTAGGTTAATTAAAATCGTATGTTATTTCATATCAAATTTTCTGCTCTGCGGCGCACGAATGAATTAATAAGGACGTCGAGTACCTACGATCAGGCTTTCCCGAAAACTGCCGCATCGTTTTCAATAAATTATAGGAAGGTTCGCGTGGTTGATCCTTTCACGGGCTACCAGCCACCCGTCGTTCGATTAATATGAACAATAAATACTGTAAATCCGGCTCCCTTTTATCGTTCGCGTGCACACACGCTGCCAAGTTGCCTGTTATTAAAGGGAAGGGAAACGAAAATCCATTCGAAACATACATCGATAATTTCAGGTGAACGCGACCAAGTTTTAATGGAATTAACGCGACTCCGAGGATTCCGAGTACCGTTCCACCGAACGAACCGGTCGACGTTTCGTAGCGTTTCGTGGCGCGATCACGTTGACGCGACGGCGGCGTAGCGGTTCACCAACCGTGGACCGTGAGCACGCGCATCTATTATGCGTTCCAATTAAATGAAACTCGCTTGATTCAGTCAGTCGTTTTACCGTCGGCCGATCGTACCTGACAGCCGTGTACGTACGGAGGCTCGTGCGTGTTAAATAGTATTTCCGCAGTTCGAGAAGTAACAGTTTATTTTATTACACAAACGAAACGGTTTCGCCTTCGACCATCGATTCGATTCAATTTTACTCTTGCCACAGCTACAAACTACGCGCTCCGTGGCGTTGCAGAGGGACGAAACTCGACGCGGATGGAACTGTATAGTCTCGAGCGAGAAAGACTCAAGTGGCTAGTACCACCCATGGTCAGACATGCAGGAAAATTGAGAAGGCCCGATGAATTCTTTAGAGCATCGCGCGCAAATAAAAGGATTTATTCACCTCGTGGGTAACGTTTGCCTCGAGCTTGCCCGATTTAACAGGCATACGCGGCGATGGGTTGGCTGGTCTGTTGCAAATAACACGAATACCCTATGGCGTTCTACGAGCGCCGTTTCCCATGACGATAACGATAATATCGTGCTTGCCCCGCTACAAAGTATAACCTAATTATCTGTCCGACAGGGTGGTATCTGGCTGCTCTAGGCTCCATGCTCTACGCTCTACGCCTCTGTAATACGCAACTACATTCGCAACGGTTGCCGGTCCGATTGCATCTTCGCTATAGAGGCGGATACGCCGCGCGCGCATTTGATAACATTTTTGTCGCGACTCGACGCGCCGTCATCGCGCTGTCATCGCGTAACGACTACCTACCGTCCTGACCCATTTGCTTCTTTGCTCCTGTTTTCGTCGAAGAATTGCTCTACGCCGTCACCACAGTCGTCGAAAAGGCTCGATTGTCGCATTGCTCCGATATTTGTTGGAGACGTAAGGAGCCACAGTTATAGATTTCAATGTCCCCCTGAACGAAAGAAGATTCGACTGGAAATTGAAAGCTGCTCTTCGCGGGGGAAATCGAACGGGATTCGTCACTCCTGGACGAGCTGTGCATTGCCGCTCTCTCTCTCTCTCTCTCCGTACTCGGCGAATTGGGAATTTTCGAAATACACCAAGGGAATCGTCATGGGGGGTCGGGCTTTAATACGCACGACAAATCTGTAAAGCGATTAGCGGAAACGCCGGTAATGCCGATTGAATTTTTCCTCTAATTGGTTGCAGCCGGCTGCCAACTAATTCCACGAAAATAGAATATCTGTCGTGTTCGACGACACGATTATCGCGACATTGATGAAGTTTCGACTAATCGAGCGTGGACGCTCGCGACAATGGAAAACGCTTCGCGTGGCGCCGATGACGATGAATGCAAAGTAGGATCGATCGAGGGAATCTCATCGTTCCAGCCGTTTTTTTTTTCTTTTTTTATACCGTTCCGCACTTTTGCGCTCGAACGTGGCCTAATCCGATATAACGACACCGCGCATTTACATATAAATCAACGTACCGCATATAATTTCGGTCCGCGACGCTCGATATAAATTGCTGCGTGCCTACACGCGGACAGGTAATTGGAATCGAACTGGTAATTGCGCGCATTATAATTTGTAAATTTTCTGCAACTCGGCCATAACGACGCGCGATACCTACTGGTCGCAATTAATGCGTTTTATATGTACGAGGTATGCCGTGTAAATAATGAATAAACGTCACGCGATCGAACATACCATCCGCGTTGTTTGTCAAAACGAATCGACGATCCGTTTCCTAGATATCGTTGGTGGTCGGTGTCAGCTCGGAATTCAGCTTGCAGACTTTTCGAATTACGCTTCGGATACACCCGTTCGAAATAAATTCGGAGACACGGATGATATTTGTGCGCGTCTGCCCACACTCACCGATGCAATGCGATTCGGTAATCGAATTCGTGTTATTTGTTTGAAGAACCGTTCGTGCGAGCACCCTATCCGACGCACAAATAATCCGAGTAATCGTATCGTGCGAGATGTTTTGGTTCGCCGTTCCGATTGGTCCACGGTTGTTCACGGATCGCGATCACCACCGACCAGTCGACGCGCACAGACTCAAAGAAGATCCGATTAAAAGAGTGGCTCTTCATTACAAGAGCCACGGTACCGTGACGAACGGCACGGTTTATTTTGGGTCCAACGCACCCCGTTGATCCTCGTTCGCCGGAAGTATCGCATGGTTTACGAATACCGGATGCTGTCGAATAGCCCTTGTTTGTTATTTATATCGGTGAAATCGAGCGACCACGGGCAAGAGTCGGCGAGTTTTGCAAAATTGTTTATAGCGGACGCTATCGAAGTATCGCGCACCGCACGTTTTTTAACGATAACAAACAATATCGACGGTCAAGCAGACGGCGTTTTTTTTTTTTTTTTTTAGAAAAAGTGAATTGATAGGATAAAATATTTAACATCGTGAAATAGCAGGCATCGAGTACGAAATATGTAGGTACATACATATGTGTATAGTTGTTTCTTTTACTGCACGCCACAGATGGGTAAACATCAAACACAAACAGTCGCGTGTGTTATATGAACGTTTATTCGGCCGTTGGATTGCCAATAATACGATTCTGCGTGTTTTCTATGCTATGTACACATGTAATTAGATAAGCGTTTCAGTTTTCTCGAGACTTTTCTATCGGTCGTGTCTTCGATTCGACCACGCGATTGGAAAGAATTCCTGGGCGTAGGAATTGCGTCTTATATTAGAGGGGGAGGATTGTAAAAATATCTGTACATTTTACGCGTTTTTACTAAAGGTAGATATCGTTACGTCTACGGGAACTGATAAGCTTCCGCTGAAGCGTCAATGACGAGAAGGGTACGACCGACATTCGCGTCCCTCCATTATAATACTTTGATGCGCTTTGCTCGCTCCTGGTAAAAATGGCACGTAAGTTACAGTACGGAGTGCAAGAACCTAATAAATAAAGCTTTAAAGCCGTCGTGTATCGGACGCTTTAGGAGACACTTTCACGAGTACGATCGTAAAGCACAGGTACAGGTATTCTGGAAATAGTGTTAGATCACCGGATCGGGCGCATAATGCACTGCCTTGCTCCTTCCTATGGCTTATCGAGCTACGTCTTACATCTACGAAAATAGGCACTTCCGCCCGGCTTATATCTACAGAGGACGTCGCGAGTAGCGTGTATAATACATAACGATAAATAGATACATCAAAGTGTTTTCTCCTAGCTGTACAAAATCTAACATCTTCGTACGTTAGTTGTGCATATCGATCTCGACTCTTTGCAGGAGATCCGGTTCTGAAAAGGAAGAAATCGTATGTTTCAATGATCGGCTTAAATTTATTACCGGGCCGTTGAGGAGTGATTTACCGTTTCGACTATCCTCGACGTATAGACTCGTTCTTTGGGAACGTCTGCCATCGCCCGAGTATCTGATCCTTGGCTCGATTCTTTGAGCTGAGACGTAAGTAGGGGTTGTGAAATCGTCCGGACCATCTTTGACAGGGGAACCGTTTCTCCTTCTGCATATAGCCAGTCCAATGATCACACCGATGCCAATCAGGATCAAAGCAACCGCTCCTGCGATGCGAAATATTGTTAATCTCTTTTAATTGGAACTACATCGACGGCATAAGTACCTATTACGACACGAACTTTCGTCTTTCGGTAATAAAACTGTAAACAACGATATGTTCGTTTACCTGTACCTGTCAGGGCGATCACGATGATCAGGTTCTCCGAGTTGGCGTTCGGCAACGCTTTCTTCAGATCGTCCAAGAAGATTCCAGTCCCGGTTCTCTCCAATCTTCCACCGATCGGTTCAACCACGCTAACGTGCTCCAGAAGCGCAGGTTCGCTTCTGCCTTGACCGTTTACCGCGTACACGTATAACGTGTAATCGACGCCAGGTTCAAGATCGTGCAGTTGAAAATTGGGCATCATATTCTTTTCTTGGTATATAGCCGGCACTTCTCCGACCGCTCCCTGATCGCTTTGGGGCGCGTGAAGCGTGGCTGCGTTCACCTGAACGACCCTGGGGTTCCTCGGGGCACCACGAACTTCCAACAAAAAGTACTGCGGCGAACCACCATCCGCGCCAGGGACACAGTTCACTTCCAACGAGCTGGTCTCGTTCTGCAGGGAACAGTCGAACGGTGGCTGCGGTGCCTCTGCGAATCGCAACGTGTATTAGAAACAAAGTGTGCGTGGGTATCACAGTCTGCGCGTGGAACCCCCTTCGAAGACCTTTCTTTAACATTCGAATACGTCCAGCTACACATAAGGCGGAAGTTGGTTTCTACTCGAGAAAACAAATCGAAGGTAATTCTAATGGACTCCTTTCGCGACAATTAATTATTCAGCAAGCTCTGGTAGTCTATACGCCGTAAGCGATCGGCCTAAACGCGAGCCGTTCTAGTTTTCAAATACCGAAGAGGTATATGTATGTATGTACGTACTACCCGGTACGATGTTGAATATACAGGGCGTCCTTTGTCTGCCGATGCTGTTGCTTGCCCAGCAAGCGAGAGTTCCAAAGTCGGTGTCAGCGGTAGGAGTGTACTCGAGAACGCTAACGAGCCCGTTATTCCGAGCTTTGGAGTTCTGCATCGGTAACACGTCACCGCGCGTCCCGTTGTACGTCCAAGAGAATCTCACGACATCCGTCGGAATCGCGTCGACCTCGCATCGCAACGACACCGTCTCGCGACGACTAGCCGCGATCTCCTGCCGCTCGTAACCCACTCGGCATCTCGGAGCATCTTACGAAAGAACACGTCTCGTCAGAATAACGAACCCACGGAGCATCGAGAGTTCACTTACATTTGACGCGAATGAAGATCGGTGGACTGCCTCCCTCCCCCACGGAATTGATCGCTCCGCAGGAGTACTGGCCACCGTGCGCCAGAGTCAATATCCTTAAAGTCAACGTGTTCGAGGCAATCAACGTTCCAGTGGCCACGTCGTGCTCCAATCGATTACCCTGGAACAATATCCTCTCGATAGCGTCGTTTCGTATCTATAAACGGTGAAATTGCGAATCGGGAGTACTTACGTTATGGTACCATATGACCTTGGTCGAAAGCGGGTTACTCTCCACGTTGCAGACCAACTTTAGATCATCCCCTTCCCTCAGTGTGTCCAGAACGTAACCGGTAGCAAGGTGAATGGCGACCACAGGGGCATCTGAGGATAAATGACGGAGAATTTCGATACACAGTTTGTCGCGGCGTGCTTGGCGAGTAATATTTGTCACGAAAACGACGACACACGATAAGAAAGGAACGACTCACAGGCAACGCTTAGCACTTTCGTTTGCTCGAGGTTTCCACCGGGAAATCTGGGATTTTCGGCTCGACAAGTTAATTCCTTGCCATCGTCGTCCTTCCCGAGGGCCAACGCCAACTTGCTGACCGTAGAATTGCTCCTCTGCGTGGTGGACACGTTTGGTTCGCCGATCACCTGCTCGCCCAACCTCCAAACGATCCTGGCTGCCGGCGAACTTCCCCACGTTTCGCAGCGCGCTGCGATCGGTCGACCCGCGTAAATCTGTTCTTCGCTCAGGATGATTTTCACGACCGCCGGCTTCACTGCAAAAAAGACGACCCTTCGATATCGCATCTTACTTTCATACTACGCATAGTCCCGAAACTCGACTGCACGCCAGTTTCGTTTATCTTCCACCGAAAGCTACTTTTTATCCTTCGAACCTGTCCCAGCTGATTCCTCGAGGATTCGCGAACGCGCGAAAAATGTTGCTGGCGCGACGCAGCCCGTAATCGGGTCGTTGCGGTGACGCGCCTCGTCGCAGCAAAAATAACGGGTCGAGGGAGCCCCACATGCTCGCAAAACGAACTGCGTATTTTTACTTTCGGACGACGATTCTACGAAATGCGACCGTCAAAGGAGTTAAGGAGGTCCACGCGAAATCGTTGGAATTCATCTCGCTTCCGCTGCGGGTCACTCGCTCCTGCTATATTTAAATTTCTTTCTTCGACGCGCACCTCTATGCTGCAGGACATTCGAACGAATCGAAACGATATTTCGTTCTGCTTGGAATGTCCGGCGCTTTCAACCGATACATAGAGAGCAACGGCAGTAACGGTATTGTAAAGGGTGTCTCAGAAAGAACTTGAATTTTAAATAAATTAAAAAACATATTAATTTAATTGTTTTTTTTTTACATTTCATTATTGATATCTTGAGAGTTATTAATGACATTAAACATGAAATAAAATGTCGGTTAAATGGCCACCGTTGGTCTGGTGGTAGGTACGTATTCTTTTGACAAAATTTCGAAGTACGTTTTGGAGTAAGGGCCGGTGGATTTTACGAATTTGGCGTTCAATTTCTTCTTTGAGTCTCTGAATTGTCTCCAGGTGATTTGCATAGACCTTACTTTTCGAAAAGTCCCTGAGGAAATAATCCAAACAGGTTAAATCGTAACTTCTTGGCGACAAGAAGAACGTTCTTCCAAAGTGTAACGAGTCATTTTCATAAATGTCAATGTATTAACTAAAGAGCCTCCAAATATGACTGACTCACCATTCGACAGACGAAAATGGCGCGCGATTCGAAATTCAAGTTCTTGCCGAGACAGCCTTTACGAATGAACGAAGAACTGCGTCACATATAAATCCGTGCGTCTCCCGTGGAATACGAGGAGCTTGCGTAAGATCGGGAGCAGGGAGAGTAACGTCGAGTGTTCGTACGGTTCCTTCCGGTGGGGCGTTTTTGTCGAAGTCGAAGCCATCGACAGAACGGAAATAAAACGAGCGAAGAAACGGAGCACGCGTACAGCGAATCGGAACACGTTTCTTAACTCGTTCGCGATCGCTTTTAGCGCTCGTTCGGATTCAAAGAAGCGACCTTGAGGAGCCGGCACATTCGTTCTATTTTATTTCCAGCAGATGTTACCCTCACGCGGCACTCGTGATTCGCTTCGGTTGTTTTTTTTTTTCTTTTAAATGTTCCGTCGACTTTTTTCGCCTCGATGTCGCTTTGGAAACGCGACATCGTGGGATCGATATTCCCGATCCAGCTGCGATAAGGAGCTACTTACGGTAAATGTCCAGAGGAACTTCCCTCACGATCGGTGCCGACATTGGCGCCGATTGAGCTCTGCACTCGAGTTTGGTGCCCCACAACGATCTCGTCACTTTATCGATGAAAAGGTGGTTCACCGTGAATTTGCTGGGTGCACCGATGGAAACTGTGTCGACGACACCGTCCAGAATCTCGCCGTCTTTCCACCACGTCACGGATGGTCTTGGTCGTCCTGGAGTTGGTATAACAATATCGATACATGACGATGCAAATAACACGTCTCGAGCGTACGGTCGCGTTGTAGGAAAATAAAAATTCATTTACCTCCGGATACTTGGCAGGTCAAGGCGAGGTTGTAACCCTGGAGAAACGGTCCGCCAACTCCTGTCACTTCTCGCCCCTGGGCATTGTATATCACAGGCTTGGATGGTTCCTCTGGACAAATATATCATCGCGAACTCCTCTCATATTCGTCGCAAGCTTCAAACGTCGTATAAACCAACTAAACAATATACCCACCCACTAGCGTAAGATTCACTAGAAAATTCCGTGTCGGGGAATCGATAAAGTCTACCCGGCATCTGAAGATTCCTTGGTCCTTGTACATAACTTTGGTGACTTTCAGCTTTGCTCGTTGGCCGTCCCCGATCTGAAAGTACGTCCTCTTGCCCAGATCATCGCTGACCGCCCAGTGAATGGCGGAAGAGAGATCTCCGCTTCTCGCGTCCAAGCTGCAGAAATGATATTATATTGCATCGATTAAACCGCGATCTAACTAAACTACCTGAAGATCAAAGGATCGAGGTTGCCAGGTGACAACCGACGTCGAGTCAACGATCGAACGTCGCGTCACGCGAATCGAGTTGACGTTTCCCGTGCTGGTAAACATCGGCGAATCGTCGGTTGAGAATAGTTTCGATGTTTCGGTGACTAACTCTAGCACGCGGTTCTATTCGCGGCGGAAAAAAAAGGATACTTGGCAAGCGCGCGGTCAGCGAATTTAGATGCACCGCGAACGGTTGACCGTTACGCAATGTCGAGGAGGAAATCAGCGTGGCGCTGCGGCGACCGACACGGGAAAAGAACGAATTCGCAGTCGATTTCCTTGAAATTGCGGCGCCGGTTATAAACGGGCTGGTCCGACGGCTCGTTTCATTTCATTTCATTTCCACCCCGCCCGTCTTCGCTCGGATTTCCATGTTTTTTTCCAAGCAGAGCCGGTTATGGGAACGCTTTCGGTGCAAATAACCGAACCCGTAAAGTCACGGAGCCACCTGCTTTGCGTTCGTCTCGCATGTCGGTCGTTTTCTCCGTTGTATTTTTTTTTTACGACCATCCTTTGACGCGGAACAGACCTAGCCGCGAAGGTCTTCTCGCGTTTCTGGACCCACGTGTTTTTCACCCTTTTTCGAGGAAATTTTTTTTTACTTCACAGCGGCTACGCGCGGTAAACGGGCTCGGTTTACGGGGGAACGCTCTTTTGTAAATAAACGAACTCCGAACGTATTGGTCGCGCGAATTCATCGGTACGGAATACTGTTCGATCGGCTGATGTATTTCTGGGAGTGCGGCACGATTAAGAAATTCCAGTGGTCGATGCCAAAAGATCTTTGAAATTCGAAAATGATCTCCTCCTGTTTATTTATGTTACACGATCCACCTAGGTGCGTCTTTCGCTGGAACGATTCGTCGTGACCAATACGAACGATCGTTTCGAGCGGAAAATTTAAATCACTCCTCGATTATTTTAATCGAACGTCTCGATATCGAGTGCTACGGGAAACATTTGCATCGAAATGAACGCGAGACAGGTTTCATCCGTTCGGAGGTGCACAATAGACGAAAGTTCGGTGTGCTGCCCGGAAAGAGAGACCCTATTTCGGAGGCTTGGGTCGAGATATTTCGAGACGCGATCTCAGAACAATGGCATCTACGAATATTAAGCGTGGCCGAGATCCGGCGATTCGGGTTCTCCGTAGACATTCTTCTTTCGGAGATTAGTTCTCGGTAGCCGCGTAAACAGGAAGCCCTGCAGCGCGAAATGTTCGCGGAAAGAACACGCTTATCTAGCATAGTTGCTGAAAATCGGCACACGAAAATGGGTTACACTGCGCTGTCTGACACGGTAGGTACTCGTCGCTCGTTACTACCGTTCCTTTCCCACGATACTTCGAACAAGATTGCTAAATTAAAAAGGAAAAAAAAAAAACGCAACCCACTTCGTGTCTTTTAGTTTTGCTAATGGCGTTTCAAATGTTCCGGAACCGAAAACCACGAAACGTTCGCAGGGGCCGAATGTTGGCAATATTTTTTCGTATCACACCACTTACGGTCAACGAAATGACCATTTTGAATATCGCTGCATTAACATTGAATTTAAAGTTCCGTTTGTCTGGGGAGACGGACGATGATGTTACCTGTACAGAGGTATTCCATCAGAATCTCTGAACCAAAGCACCATGTTCACAACGTCGGTCGGTGTCGGCGGAGTGATGTCGCACGGTAATTCCACGTCTTCTCCTTCGCTGGCCCAGACCAACTTCAACGGCGCTGTAACAGGACAAATGGCAAAGACTTTAACCCTCGCGGAACAACGTACAAGTCCGTACGGATGTAATTCTGCATATACATAGATCGTACAACGTTATCTTTTGATCGCGTTAGGAACTATCCAATTAACAGATATCCCATAATTACCTTTTCCAGATATCCCTTAATTATCATTCCCCTGATTCCTTTTATTACCATTACAGAGAAGAATAGCTAGTTGAAGGGGCGTTATCGACGCCGTACGATTTTCAAGGAAACATGATTTAACCCGCAGGACTGACGATGCAACGAAAGGGTCCGTTCATCCATTTTCGTCGGCTACTCGACGGTCTCGTTAAGGGTGACACGAAACGAAGGAGAAAGCTCCACTAATGAAGCGATTCCCTGACAGTGGAGCTGTCGTCGCGCGTGCTTGCTCGCATCCATCGTACATCCGAGTACTTACATACATATATACGTACATAGCTGTGGGTCGAAATTGAGCACAATGCACGCACCGCGTGCGACGGTGTATCGGTCCTGTTGGCTGGCTATTGTTCTCATTACTGTTTCCCTACGTCGTTCTCGGCTGTTTCGAGAACCAACGGATCAGGCCGTACGCGTTCGCGCGTCGATTAAACAGTCTACGGTTAATTGGCGAAACTAAAAGCGTCGCGTGGCGACGTTCCCGATTTCCGATTCTATAACTGCATAGGTATCCGTTGAGGGTGACGAACGAGGATCGGATTATTCGCGCTATATAGACCCGCGATACGGTCTACGGAGGTTAGAGATGGCTGCCAAGAGAGAATGACCGAGTTATCATCAATGGCATACCGCGGTGTGCATTAACACCGGTTCTCACGCACGTGCGCGATCACGCTGTATCGCGTCTATTTTCTCCGTGGGTGAAACTTCGTATCATCGTGACGATTCTAAGTTTAAATCGTCGTGGCTGAGGCGCGCGGAAAGTCGCGAAAGATGTTGCATCGGCCCGATCCTCGGTGTCGTTGGACCGGATTCGTTTGGATTTCGAAACGATTCAGAGCCCGAGAATATATATATATATATATATGTGCGCCAGTGGAAAGATTAAAATATCGATATAAGCGGTAGGTCGTGCTCGATGTTGCCGGGCCATGTTGCTGGTAGCGTCGACGTTTTCGATTTTCCATCCCGTAGGTATAGCTTTTTCGTGTTTCCGCGACGCGTAACGCGCCGCTGAAAGGCGAACGACCGAAGCCAGTTTGTCTTCTCGACGGAGCGTTACGTCGCCGCGTTACACGGCCACGCTCCGATCACCGTGCAAACCGGTGATGTACAAGCGTACATTACGTAAGCTTGCCCGATGCGACCTGCTCCGAAATTACCCGCAGCTAATTGACTTTTTCAGAGCTCGAACGACGCTTGAAAGGTATATTACGATTTTTCGTGAATCGTCAGCCTAATTCTGGCCGAACGGGGATAAACTCGCGTGCCCCCTGTCCAAACAATCCGTCGCCGCTTGTACATCGTTGCATCTTAGAATAGAATTCCGTTTCCCGACGGAAATCGGTAAATATTCGAAGAAAGAATATGTACGTCCGAGTGTGTATCGTTATGTAAATAATGCTTGGCTGAGGGGTAACCCTGATATTTTTGTATCCCGCGAGGTTGGGAAACCGCGCTTCCGCCGGAGTCGTCTATTTTCGTGCCCCTGTCCCCGGCCCTTTTCGTTGCACCCGCCCCTTCGCCCGATCCGGCATTCGTCTTTTGCGAATCGAATCTGCGTGCATCTAAAAACAGCCATTAAAATAATTTACGAGCCACGAATATGACGAGCGGAATAACGTGGAAACACGACCCAAGAGGCGCCGCGCGATAGCAACTGGTACAATATGGAATTCATTTGTGAATTTTTATTCGGCGCCAATCTATTTCAGTCGCTCGATAACGCCTTGCACGCAGTCGAACAATTTCCTGCCTTTTGTTTCGCGCATCGCGCCGTGTCGCGTCGTCGACTACTGCGACGGGCCAGATCGATGGAATTCCTCGGATCGTCTCGAGTTCTCGGTCCCAGTTACATTGCCACTCGCCACCCTCGATTATCGTTCGCGCAAACACCGGGTTATTACGTTTTATTAAATTCATGCCAACCCTCTCCGATATCTCTTTCTAATCTACCCGCGGCGATCCAGGCTTTAGTCAATCCCATTCTCGCGTAATTCTACTTCCTCGTGCCAACACCTGTTGCTATCCTACCCCAAAGAAGTTCGGTTTTCCAATATAATTCCAACTGTCGCCATCTACGCTTTTCGATTCGACGGTTGTTCCCGTTCCTTTCGAAGCGATACGACGCGACACCTACGTACATATGGTATATGTGCTAGAGCTTATTGAAAAGACAAAACTGAAGGACAATTTGAAAGTTGGAAGGGCCTGTTTCGGGTTTTCGTCGATTACCATAAATGAAACACCAACAATGTTCCACCGATTGACTTTCAACTTGTAAAAAATGACAAGACGAACGTGATCACTGCACACGGATGATTTCCGAAACCGCGTTGGAAGTCTTTCTATGACGAGACTAGCATTTTGCGATATTTTACCTCCATTTTAGCACTTTGATGGTATTTTATTGGTCATTTTCTGATAAAACTTTCATCGGCATATTCGTGTCAAAACGACACCAAACACGATATAATTTGCTAAAATCGGAAAACTAGTGCTGGTTTTTCTGTGACTGAAATTTCATTTGAGTGGATCATAATTTGTCTTATTATAACGCATGCGTATTGGGATAAGAACTCGATAATATTCATATAAGAATAATTCAGTTATTGTTTATATATTTTATAGATACATTTCCAGTGGCATTGAATGTCAAATGAAGTATTAAACGAGATATGTATCTGGTTTCTCTCGTTCACCAATGTGTTACCTCGAGGCCTCTTGATTATTTAGACCGACACCCACGAGTCCCCCAGCCGATTTGTAGTCGTAGGAACGCAGAAGTATGCGTAAGATTAAAGCCCTCACCGCGATGCACCTCCCTCTTTTCCGGCCGCCCTCGTAGCGGTCGACCGCTGCGTCGCACCACGCCGCCCGGAGCCGTCGGCACCCTTTTGTGACTCTGTCCAAGGGTTGTTGGGGAGATAAAGGTCTCCCGTCTGATCACTTTGTATGGTAATTTCATCGATGCGTTTTGCGCTTGGAACCCCCGCAGCTCGTCCGTTTTCTTATTTAAAGTTCGTTCGCTTTAAGGGGCCGGTGTTCCCGGTGCTTCAAAAGTATCATCGTCCAAACCGATTCCTTTCGACGTCGTCAAATTCTTTGAACTCGGTACAGCATCGTGCCCACGAGACATGCATCGAATTTTTATCGTCTCTTTCGTTTATCCTCGAGGATAATATGCAACTTCATCGAACCTTTCGAACAGTGGAAGCGACCTTTCAGAAACGGGACAGCATTCTGACGGAACAATCCGATTACACGCCCTTAAACGGTCCTCTTGGACGATGTTCGCGCGAGGGAGGAGGGGGATAATTTGTAGCTCGATTAGCGCGCGCGAAGGAGGAAGGTGATTACGAACGAGGCCGCTCAAGATGTTCGGGCGGATAGTGGCGCACGCACTTTATGTGCTTTCGTTCCGCGGAAAGTGTTGCTTTCGCGGGAGCTCGTTCAGGCTGACGTTTACCGTTAAACAAACATGTAAAGATTCCTCCCGCGATACCTACAGGAACGATGATGGATCGACGAGAGATCCCGCCTTCGTATTTACGTTGTCTTCCCCAAATATTTTCGCAGGAATAAAGGAATCGTCGGGGGATCTATTACCCGCGACGACGGGAACATATTTATATTTTGAACCGAGCCTGGAATCTGAAGCGCGTTGAAAGGCTCTTCTGGAATTACTTCGAATTTTCGATCCTCCCTATTGCGAAGGCCTCTCGGTTAAAAGTTATAAAAGACACTCGACGCGAGCGACGCATTCCTTTTCGCGCGAGGAACTTCCGCCGATGTTCCGGAACGCCCGACTGCACCGAAATGCATGGCGAACGATCCTTCCTCTTCGACGCTCCGTTTTCGTATACATACATATGTATTTCAGAAATTGGCCGCGCCACGGAGACGGAACGCCGTGACTGATGGCGAGCAATATCAAAATGAACAGGCGCCTTTTTATGGTGCCAAAAATAAATCGCGTGAATTCTTTTGCTTCGGAAGCCGAGTGGTGTTTGCCCGCCTTCGCGACGAAAATATCTACCGGCAAGATTCGCCAAGGCGCTTCCTATTATTCGATCGGACGTCCCGCAGTATCCAAACATCGATGACACTCCTCATCTTTTTGGGACGGTCGCCTCCTGTTTGCTCGGCGTCGAATATTAATAACGCTATTATTAATAAATCGAAGAAGACGATGTAGAGGTGCATATCTGTTGCTGGTTGACTGGATTGTAAACAGGAAGTAGTAGGTGCGTCGTTTGGGACGGTTCTTCGTGTTTCTTAATACACGCGTAAAGCTTGGACGCTAGAATCGCTGAAAACTTAGTAGGTTTGTATGCGGGTGTGCGAGTCTATTTGAATCCTTCCGGTCGTTGTCGATGGCTCGAGCCACCTAACTTCTAACTTATTTAAATCGGGCCGAGGTCACTGTGCTCGTTCGCATCGAAATAAGCTTCGGAAAGGTTCGCGGTACATATCGTATTCTTTTCCTTTCTCTCGATGGATCACCGTACAAAGAGAACACGCCCGATTCCATCGAAACGCAAGAAGGTTGCCAATCGATTGTTGGATTCCACATAAGTGCAGTTGCCGTATAGTCTACACGAACGCGTAGACCGTGTTGCGTTTAAAGACGAATCTCCCGAAGGAGCTCTACTTCCATCGAGCCCAAAATTGTCACGGTAATCTACTTACCTTTGTTCTGAAATTCAGGTGAATCCTCCGGGGCTGCGTTTGCTCGGCGTGCTCGAAGTAGTATCAGCAAACTCGTCAGAAACACGTGTCCCGACGTGCACCGCATCTCGAAGCGGCAGGCGAGAATCAGGTGTTTGAGTTGACGCGTGAAACACGGCCACGTCGAATCGACGCCGCATGAACATTCAGGATCTTGCGCGATAGAGATTGCGTTCTCGTGCTCTCGTTGACATCCGAATCAACACTTCAGACAGTTTCTCTGACAATATTTTAAATCGCGATTACCCGAGGATATTGATCTCTCGATCACTTCGACGCGGTATGGCGGCAAAGGATACATTCTCGATGGGGCTCGATTGAGGTCGTGGTGAGGAATCAGTCATCGATCTGTCGTTTCAAGATATTATATCGCTAAACCGAATCATATTTGTCGAATGTGTTCCCTGCACGCATTGAAACGTTCCTCAAAGTCTTCCAAGACTCGAATAACCCTCGCAGACGTAGCTTTCTGTCACGAGAAAGGAACGAGGGTGTACGGAATTCTCGACAGTCCGAGTCCGTACACGATGATCGGTTTCTATGAACTTCCTCTCGACTTTTTCTCCCGCTGGTCGGTCCTTTTTATGGTCGACGCTAGACCTTGCAGTCACACATGCTCGTTATTAGTCGAAACGCGACGCGAGCCGAGTCGAAATCTTTTGATTAACAAAACGAGCCGACGCTTTTTCTACCGTCCACACCACGCTCGAATCCGTTTTTGTCCCCTTTCAGACGAACGTTCTTTCCCTCCACGCTCTTATCCTTTGAATTCCTTTCGCTTTGTCAGAATTTTTGTCGCGAATCCGGTCGTGTTGTTCGTTTTGCGCTTACTTACGTTCTCTTCGTCTCGCTCCGGAGACCGTCCTAGGTCTTTCCCCACTCCCCCGAACGATTTCAACTTTGATCTCGTCTTCAGAACGACTCGGAGGTTTCCTTCCTTCGTTCCTTTTTTCCTCGTCGCGCGTGTCGTTCCTTTTGCCGCGCGCGTTTGTTATTCTTAGGCCGCTCCTTCTTTTCCCCGTGTTGCACGCTTCAAATTAGAATCCCCGATCAGGTGGCTCGATCACGGGCCAAAACTTGCTCCTCTCGTTGCGTTTCGTGCTTCCTCAGGAATGCAGCGGCAGATATTCCACGTATTTCGATAAGTTTCTCTCGTTAAAAGCCCGAATTCCGAACGATTCGTTTATTATTAATATCGTATCACTTTGCAAAAAGAAGAAACCACAATGGAACGATAACCGTTCGACAACAGTACAATCTGGCGAGGAATTTAAACGATTGCACCCCTCGACCGCGATCCTCGTCGAGTCGAAGACTCCTCGGAACTTGCACTTCCGGAACGCGAAGGTCGTCGCGACGAAAACACGATACCCGTTGTTTCGAGTATTAAAAAAAGAAGAAAAAAAACTATCACGCGTGCTCGATAGTGGCCGTTTGAACCGGGGGACCGTCGAGTGCCGGCAACGGTTCGAGATCGTCGTCGTCGTCGGCGGCGACTGCCACGGAACTAAAACCAAAACCGAAGACACGCGTGTAGCTGCCCCCACTCGCGTGCACCCTCCTCGTACGGCACACGCACGCTTAACCCGAGGACACGCGGTCCGTCACGTACACGTGCACGCACACCCATACGCACCCGCACTCGCCACTTGTACCCGCTTAACGACGAACCGACCCGTGCTCCAAATGCACACGCATCTTATCGCGCGTAAAGCGCATCCCGCGGAGATGCACCGTTATGCGTCCGTGCTAATGATCACGGGCGAAATCCCGGTCGAGTCCTTTGTTTGCACCAATTACTACCCTAGTTTTCTTCGTCTCTACGCGCTCTTCGTTCTCCGAATTTGATTCCCTGTTGGTCGTGTACTTTTGTACAATATACCTGGAGAATTTCTGAGTTCCTGCAAACATAAGAAAACACGCGGAACAATTTTAAACGATTTAATCGAAGGGCGTTTCCATTCCGATGACGTTCATGGAAAATTCGATAAGTGACACACATTGAGTTAGAGGCAAGGAAGGGTCCAAGTATGCCTACAGAAAGGGGATGAAAACGCACGCGTTACGCACCGCCGCGTGTCACTGCACAATGCTCTCTCTCTCTCTATCTCTCACTCGTCCTTGTTGACTCCAACTAGAAGGGGAACCGAGTTCGGTACGATGGAATAACGCGGGGTGGGTTCCTGGCGTATCATCGTACAGACGATTACGCGAGCGCAGGGGGGCTGGAAATGCTACACGTTCGTCGAGGGTGGAGTCAGCACCAGAACGGAGGGTCAGGAATTCGCCCTGAAAGGACAAACGTGTCGGTCGAATGGCTGCGTACAGTTTGATGGATTGCCCCGATAGCTGTACAACACTCGAGCGTGATTCGCTCGTTTTTATCAATTTTTTCCTGGAATTTTGTCTCTCCCTCTCCTTACATATGCATTATTTACGAAACCGCGTGTCACGTAACATTTGTTATCCCCAAGGAACGCTTCTTCTCGCGAATCTTGTTCCCGAAGCCACGGGATCTTTGGTGGTGTGTTATCGAACCTCGCGAAGCGGCATTTCACGCACGGTGTCTCCGGTGTCTTCGCACGGTTCGCGGAGAATCTATTTTCGGAATCCTCGCGTTTCCCTCGTTGGATACCGACACCCTCTTTCTGACCGACCGACCGAACGCCCGTACGCGTGCACCCACGCGAATGCACGAATCTCGAATCAGAAGCCGCGAATTCGTTCGTGCACGTTCAAACTGCCGAGATTTAAATTCTATCGTCCTTCCCCCGAAACGAGAATCGTCCGGCGAACCAGATCTCTCGAAAGACTAATGTTTATCGCGAACGATGAATTTTTTTGTCTGGGTTAGGTTCAACTGTTCTATCCCGTATACGTATGTATAGTATACGATCGCGTGTATTTGACCGCAAGAAATCTCGTCCAACTCCACCCACTTGGTTAGGCACAATTGAACGCGGCCGGTGTGTGCTCGAGCGATCAGCCGACCACTCGAAACTTTTGCTAGCCGGCCTGTATTTATTCTTCGCGTTCCACCGCTTTCGCCCTCTTTAAACTAAACAGTGCCCACCGCATTGTTGCCGTTTCCTTTTGCAGCCATGCGTTCGCGAGCCGTTAGCTCAGCGTTGCGAGTTTACCCGTTTCCGTAATGTTGATCGCAGGAAGGCTTGGCCACCGGGTGTACCACGTTAACGGGCGCAACGGATCGTTCGTAATTCGATTCGTTTCGGACGAAGGGCGCGATTCGATTAGCCACGGCCTCCTGAAACCGGCCGCCACGTGCTCCTTATCTCACGAGTCTATCGACGGGATTTCGAATCGGACAAGAGACCACCGTTCCGTTGTTATCGGACGAAATTTTCCAAACGATTCTCGGCCGTGTTCGTTGCAGCTGCGAACGAGCCCCTCTGCCATCGAACTACCAATCTCTCGGCGATGGATGCGGCCTCGCGTATCCATGCGGGGGGATGTTTCCGTGTGCGCGTGCAACATAACTCGGCTGACTTTCCCTCTGTACCGTGTAGGTATACCACATTGTATATGTATATCTCGAATTCGGTGCGAACCAGCGCCCTCGAGAAAACTCCGATCAATATCTAGGATCCCTTCGGTGGATAAAGTGTGTCAGCCTCAGCCACTGCGGGGCATAAATAATAGAATTATAGAGGAGAAGTAATTGTCGTGAATTACCGCGAAATTTATGGTAACCGGTGGGTGGTCCTTAAATGGTGCTATCGCGGTCTCGCGGCCTCGCCCACCGTCTCGATCAATTCGAATGAAGTTATTATCAAAATCGTTTAAGCCTGCGACACGTGGACAGGCCACAGGATGTGTTTTGTTCAGACTTTAATTGCGCTGGCACATAAATCCTGCACCCTGTCCGGCCAATGTCATAACACCCTTCTTACACTGACAGATACGTGCCTCTATATATTTTTTAATTAACAACCACGATCGTTAATCGCACGGCAAGTTTATGGTTACGCGCGAACGATGATTATCCTTGATTTCCTGCGAGATAAATCGTCAGCATGCGGGCAACGAATTGATACTTCCGGCCCCGAACGTCTCGCCTCGAGTGGTCGGGATCAAAATTTCGAGCAGCTCCACGTCAATCCCTTCGTTCCGGGTCGGTGGCCCCAGCAGTCTTCGAGGAAGTTACAGATGTACGTTCGAGTAAAATTAATTGACGCGAATCGTATCGGTCAGTTACTCGTCGAGCCTTCGGCTGGCCCAGGAGCAAGGAGTTCCGCTTATTAGTGACTCAGTCGAACATACGTGTCACGCTCCCGCCTCGGAAACGTAGAACACGAAACGCGTGGCGATGACTAACGAGAATCGAAACGAATCGATATTAATCCGAATGCGGCGATACGGAACGGCGGGTGGTTCGCGTGCCCGGCCATTAATATTTATACGTTACATTACTATTCTTGTACCTACCTTTCGATCGAGCAACGTTATCCGCGTAAACGCCACTCGATTGGTTTTTTACGACATCGACGCGACACGCCGTATACATATACAGTAAGAGTCAAAGCTAAGTAAACAATTTATAAAGGTGGTGTTCGTGTAATACTTCTGTAGCATTCTACTATTGTAAGATCATTGGCAGTAATTCAATCATTTCGGGATGAATAGGCAGCCAAAACAAAGATTCGAGGCTATAACCATAAAATTTGGTAAATATCGTTAAACATGGTGGATGTATTATTATGGTTTGTGACAGCATGGCAACCTCTGGTGTGAAGACAGTTGGTTTTTATTCATAGTACCATGAACACATTTGGATGTTTAAATATTTCAACATCAAATTCAGCTGCAAGTGCGTCGATGGATCTTTTAGTGTGATCGTGACCCAAAGTGTGCGCCAAAAGTGGTTAAAAATTCTTTGCTGGAGAACCCTTTCAATCCTCCTTCACAGTCATCGGATCTCAATGTAATAAAGCATCTATGGAAAATGTTAGATTCTATAATCGAAAGAAATGAATATGAAAGAATCCCATAATTTCAAAGTGTATGCTAACTTTTCTTTCTCACTTATACGTAAGTGCATAGATGCCG